GAGTATGATTCATAAAAAATCGATATAGATAACTTACTTGAAAAAGACATAATTATACAGATAAACAACTGCGCATGCTTATGTGTTTATATATGTTATAAAAGCAAGGATTCTAAGATATTATGGACGTCTTTTGTCATTTATCCATGATACGTGATATAATTTTGATGCTTTATAGTCATAAAATGTTAAAAGAGAAGCGAAGGATACCAAAGGGACATTCAATCTCATAAGTCGAAAATAAACTGACAATGCAATGGTTAAAAAAGAAAAAAAAAAAACAACCAGACAAACAACAGTTAACGTTGTGATTGGCCTGCAACAATTTATTTCTTGCCAAATGTAACTCATTTTTTAGTGTTCTAACACTGAAAAATATACTTTAAGCTGCAACGGTTGGTACGATCTCAGCATACTCTGATATATCTGAACATCAAAATCTGAATTTTAAGATATGTTTTTTCTAGACATTTGTTTTGCAGGAATTCCATTCAAATATTTGGCTTGATGATAGTACAATACTAACCCGATATTCCGATTGACATACGTTCCACTATATCTCACAGATGGCACTGATAGTACCAACTGATAAAATCATGTTCAATGGGCATGATGTGTACATTACTTGTTTAAGGAAAACCAATGTCTAATATAGAATATCTAAGGGTGCCACACATTCTAAATGCTGGTTTCCAAGTGGTAGCAATACATTGTTGATCATATGCCGTGTTATAAATGTTGAAATACAAAAAATGCATATTAATTCATTATTGGTTGTTATATGTGTGTTTATCATGTTTATATGCAGACAATGGTAGGTATGTAGAAAAATAAGAGTGATGGTACATAAAGGGACATTATTGTTTTGGGAGATGCGGCTTAATAGAGGTGTTAAAATTTAGACGAGGACCACAAGCAAGTTTTGCATTCCTTCATATAGAAATTTGTTTTGATCTTCTCATAGTCTATCGCAGCCAATAAGTAAAATATTTAAAGTTTCTACCGCTTTTGGATTTCGAATCAAGATTTCGATTGCATCCTTGGTAAGTATTTACTAATGTTCGATACATATTTCTAAGATAGATGTTCAAAACTAAAACTAAATGATAGTAAAGGAAAACATGTTTACAGATTTAAAATAGTTGTATCCATGTCATTCATTGTACAATTGAAGTAGAAACTGCAAATATTTATTAAAACTATAAGTTTGAAGGGTTCAAAACAATTGTATTATGTATCTAAAACGTTATTTTCATTTGCTTTTAAATAATTTCATTTCAATAAATTCAAAATTACCTCTTTTCTAGATAGCAAAACAAGAATCTGAAAACCCATCTTCTGAAAACCTCAGAAAACTTAATAATACAAAGAAGATGAATTGAAATTTAAATATTTTGTAGCAAACACAATGCTGGTCATTTCATACCAAATAATACTTATTGTCCATGTTAGCATCATGCTTTCCAGAAATGCTCGATATTGAAATGATCACCGTTAGTTTCTTTTTCGTATTTTGAAAGGTAAAAATAGACAACGTAATCGTGATCAAAATTAGATGACGTAAGATACTACTCTTAGTGATACCAATCTTAAATGGGAAGTGCTTTGTGTATTTGAACAATCTCTGCAAACGGCCTAATCTTAATTATTTTTATCTGAAGAATTGAAAGGAACTGGTATAAACTGCGAAATTTTCCACAAAAGCCTAGACTTTTCAATTAATCTGAAAGGAATGTATTTGTTTGCTGCTTGATACCATTATTTTGATTTGAAATCTATCTTAAACGAATAAGGGTATACAATACTTTATAACTTATGTTTTCTCATATTTGGATTTCTGCATAGGAAATAGCTTTAGTTAACAGTTTTAAGTGCGATGTGTTGGTTAGAATACGACCGCAAATTAAGAACGTTAACAATACAAACATAACAATGGATCATCAAAATCGAACTTCAAAATTTTTGTTCAAAAATTTTTCAAAATTACACAGTGGCAGATACAACGTCGTTTACTTCACAGTAAAGTAAGTATCAAAGACTCTGATACCACAGAAAACATATTATATAAATAACACATAGCTGAGAGGGAGATAGAGCAGATTTTTAGCCCGAAAAAACATTGTTGACCGCGGCGAAGCCAAGGTTGACAATATATTTTCGAGGGGTAACAATCTGCTCGATCCAACTGTCACCTATGTTTTATTTATTTTATTATACTAAATGTTCTGTTATTACTGTCTGTTAAATTTCAAATTCAAAGTAATAAACTTTGACGTCTTGTACATAACAAGCATCCCTATTTAGTAAAGCGCACAAATGATCAAGCGTCTCCGTGAAGGGTAATAGAGTATTTGCCATTGGATAGAGTAAATTTTCTCCAACGTATTAACCAATCAAAATCCTGCATTTTGACACGAAGTATAATAATACCTTTTATCATATAGTTTACTTGATATTTTCAATATAAAATATCCTGGTTATATTATACTCAAATTATAAACATGGGATTTCGATTTGCTATTGCCGACTTCAATTTAATGAAATAAAAATGAAAAATTTCGCTTTGAATTTTTATTCAGGATTACAATCGCATATTTTAATTATTTCTTTGTCTGAAATCTATTCACATATCATGCATATAGTGCATATCCCTACGAACATCTGCTTCTTATTTTGATTGTGATACGAGTTACATGTATTATTGCCCGACATTTTAATTCTAGTTTTTTTTCTTCTGTTTGCTGCTTTATTGGTTAATACATGTACATTTATTACTTGTTGTTTGAATGGGTAATTGCCTAAAGTGACTAATTGTCTACTTTTGATACAAACAAGGTCGATTTGAAATGACTTAACAGTTTTACAAATGAAATATATAAGTACAATTTACATTAGATTATTGTTTCAATTTGTCTTAAACACATATAACCACTTTGTCAGAAAAGAGATATAACAAAATAAATATATAATTTACAAGGTAAGAGGAAAAACATGTAAAAAACTGGCCCAAATTTATCAAGCTTAGCTTAACTCTTTTCGAATCATGTCTGTTATGGAAATGTTGGCACACACGCAAGTCTTAGAACATTTTCTTTATCCTGTATTTTGACAAGACATGCTTCACTTTGGCAATGTTAATAGAGGACATTAAGAGTCTACCAAACAACCTCGTTGAGTACGATATCTGTCCACTCGTGATACTTAAGTTTTCAAACTTTGAAATATCAAAAGTGGATACATCTTTTAGTAGCTATTATATCTTTGGTTTTCTATGTTGTGTAATGTTTACCGTTGGTTGTCTTTTGTGTTTTTTTTTCGTGTTTTGCCATAGCATTGTCAGTTTATGTTCGATTTTGATTCCGATTGTCCCAATGGTATCTTTCGCCCCTCTTTTAATGTTCCATTTTGATTTGTCGGGAAACTGTACGAGACAAATATAACGATCGTGTGGTTTATCAATTTTATCAAGATTGTCAGTATATAACGAAATTGTGAAATGGTTGTATTGTGTTTAATGGTTCGAGTCTTATTTGTGAGTAACTCAAATTTCTTGTTAAATTGTATTGGAATTTTTTTGTTTAGACAAACTTAAGTTATAGCAGAAAACGCTTACCCTCTTCTCGAAGCTATTTTTTTTATTCTTTATAGAGTTCATGCTATTCCTTCAGTATCTGTGTCTTACTTATGGTTATTTATATCTCTAGACAGTTGGAAAAGGTACATTTAAAGAGAGGTGAAAGATATCATAGGGACACTCAAACTTATAGGTTGAAAATAATTTGACAACGCCATGTAAAAAAAAGAAAAAGACCAAAAGACAAACAACAGTATACAAAACACAAAATAGATAACTAAAGACTGAGGATACGAACCCGACCAAAAATCAGGATTGATCTCAGAATTTTAAAGTCTAATTCGGTAGGTCACACTCGGGGGAAAGGAGGACGGAATTCTGGTTAAGACGATTGGAACATATCTGTCGTCATCTGTGAAACAGAAATTCCTTATCGGTCAACTAACGTCCGAAAAAATTTCGTGACGACAAGAGATGATTTCAACTTCACCACTTGGAATTCTTGGTTTAATAGCTTCCTTGTGAGCAGCTTTCCTCTATTAAGGACATCATGATAGGAAACACATTGAAACAATAGCCTTGACATATCATATCAACTGGGAGATATGTACTCCAAATGCAGGCGCTGCCGTAAATTTGTTACCTATAAATAGAAAGTTCACATTTGGGAAGCTGAAATAGTGTTGTTCTCAACCAACCCTCATTGTCAACTTCTAGATATAAGTCAAGATATGAGGCAGACTTAACTGTATCTGTTGTATCCTTTACTTCAAGTTCGATGGGATAGATGCGTTCAACATAGTCACAAAACTTTTTTTAGTGAGAGAACATAATCTTTTTGGCGGAAAGTGAAGTTAAAGGACAATGCTAGCTTCTTTTTATCCTTCCTTAGAGGTTCAACTATAAAGATAGCTTCATATGAATAAAGGAACAAGTCGGCAAGTAGAGAGTTCAGTTGATTCCCATGGAAACCCGATTGTTTGTTGAAAAGTACGTCCTCCAAAGTAACAGATATGTTGTCAATCAAGAAATCAAGCATCGTGATGATGTTAGTTTTAGAGAATTTTTTGTTTGAATCATTGTGATGTTTTTACTAAGTACAATTTATCCCTCCCTAAGAAAAGATACTTGTATCTACGTTGGCCATCCCTTTTATCAAACAAAGCAGGACCAGCTCTTTCAATTTGTCTCTTAGTTTGGAAAGGGGAATACTTGTGTAAAGTGTAGAAAAGTCAAATGTTTTAATACCATTGCAGGATGGATGAGTCTTAGATTGTGTGTACTCTAACAAATCTTTAGAATTTTTAAGTATCCATATTTGATTCACAAACGCCGATTACGCTGCACTGCAGACAAATAAAAACATGTACAAAAGAACGAACATTGTATATCTAGTTTGAAAGTGGCAAAAAAAGTCAAATTGAAATTAAGTAGAGAATGATCAATTATTATTCAAAATAAATATTAAAATAAACATGTAACTAAGCGAACAGAAAATTACTTCAAGATGTATGCATTCCTTCTGAAGATTTGTTGGTTTTTTTAAGGACCTTTTAATTAAAATAGTTAATACTACATATTTGCAAGCAATTGATATACTGATTTCAATAATATTTAGTAATGTCCAGTATGAATAAAACACCGTGTATTTCACAGCGATGTATCGTTGTACAGATTTGAATTATTTTTTATATGATATTATCTTTAATTTGTTTTTTTTTGTGTTTTTAGCATCAGTAATATCTTTATTTCAAATCACATGGAATACATAAAACCTTAGCAGTCCAGCGCAGCTGACAGAGGGGTCTTTGCTTTTATATTGCATATCTCATTTGCCAGGAAGATACAATTTTATATATAAATGTTATCTATTTTTTGTTCTTTTAACCATTTGTACTATCTAAAGTTAAAATCTTTAATTGATTTTAAAATAAAGACCGCCATGTAAAGCATTGCATATTTAAAAGTCTAGTTTCCCTTTGTTTTCCTTTCGAAAAATGTTCACTGTTTAATATTATTTCGTGGCGGTAACATTTTTTGCCTTTTGACAGGTGTTGATCTACTTCTACCAGTAGGTTGTGTCGCGTGTTTTGGATTACATCTAGATGTAGAAGTGATTTGAAGCGATTGTCCTGTAACTACGCAAGGTCCTATGTCTTCTCCAAAAGATCCACTTAATTTTATTTCTTCTATTGCATCTGCTAATTTGTAGCAACCAAGCATTGGGATCATTTCATCACCAACTGGTATTTCCTGACCACCAAAAATCACCAATACAGCTGACGGATCATCGGGTACATGTTTGGCAGAACTCAGACATACTATTGATCCGCTATCGGCCGGTAGAGCAAAACAGGACGAACCAATATTCACACCAAGAAAGAATGGTTGATCAGATTCATTTTCTGAAACAATATAACTTTCTAATATGCCCTCTGTGTATTCTGTTCGAGCGCCCCACTTATATACTTGTCTTGAAAGAATATCATCTAGAGATCCTGAAAATATTTTATATTGAAAAAAATTACAGGCAGATTTCGGTCCTTTTAATCCGAATTTGCAATCAGAGATATTTGGTGTGTCAACCTTAACCAATGACACGTCAAGCCAATGGTTTGATACTTTCCATGGTCCTTCGCAAGCAAATACACTTTTTCCAAGAATAGAATGATCGTTTGGACAAAAGGCTGATTCTCCTTCTTCAATGACATGAGCGCACGTAGTAAAAAATAGTTCCTTTTCTGTATTTTGAAGAAACATTCCCAAGGTACCGTATCTAATATCATTATTTCCTGCGGTATGCTCTGCTGTCTTGTCTACTCGACTGCCTTGCTCATAGGCAAATCTTTTCATTTTGAAATTACTAGGCCATTCCTGCATAGTAAAATCGAGACTACTTTGGTTCAAAAATTTCTTGAAGTAATTTGCTACATCAGTTTTTGAAGTTGATTCTTTAAGGTAAACCCGGACAACTCCTTTAACAAAACCAAAAGCATGTACTGATGGATGTCTGCAATAAAACACAAATGTTCATATGATGTAAGAAATAATATTGTTATAATCATTTGCAAACAATTCAAAACACAACTTTTCGTGGACAAAAGTCCAAGGGTATATCTTTATAGTATTACTAAACAAATTTCTACCATTTTAAAACACTTCTGTTGAAGTTGTATGTACCTATAATCATTACATAATAATGACCTGCCAATAAACTTATTATAGATATCAGGATTAGAACTGTGTACACATTTCGTGTCAAAAAGGCCAATCAATGACGCTCAAATCAACACGGTTGAAAAGGTCAAAGCCCAAGCACATTTGTATGTACGAAATTTTATATATAAATTGGAGTGCAAATTAGTTGACGTGCTTGTTTTTGATATGAAGGGGCTTGACACCACTTCTCTAACCCTTTATTTTATACGATATTTTAAGCGGTTTAAAATTGAACATGTCATGCATATTAACGTTGACTTCGTAAAGTGTGACTGAAATACGATTTTAAGTATAATAATATAATCATTTCAAAACGCGGCAAACTATAAAAGGGCAATCAACATCCATACATCTAAGACAAAAACAATAGCATGGACAAAAAGAAGACGATGAAAAGACAAACGTCATTCTACAAAATACTACACCTTGTGAGATGTAATTCAAGATATGAAGCATACATAACTTTATTGCTTGTATCATTTAAAATGTAATGGCATATGCGATCATTAAAGTCGATATACTTTGAACTATTCATTGAAAGTTCATCCCCTTCAATGCAAATAGTTATGTCAAAGCATAATACATTAAGCTTTGATAATGATAAGTGACTTTTAGACCCTAGTATGTAAATATTCAAAAAAAGATTTAAAAAAAATTGAGAATAGGAACAAAGCTATGCATAAATACACTCTCTGTTAATGATTGTTTTTCTTTGAAAAAAATGTGTAATGATGAATAAGTAAAGAAATAGGAAATGCAAATAAATATACAACTGTTACCTGAAAGATAGAATCTTCCAAGCATGTAATTGAACATTGCTGCAGATCTTTGAAATTTCCTCTTCAAGAAGATTTTGTAAAGTTGTATTTAAGTCTGCGCCAGGGTTCTGTTGTACATGATGCATGTGATGTGTCTTTCTATTTTGTTGAATTTCTATGGTTGGTCTTGCAGCTCTGGTCTTAGTTGGATGTTTTTGAATATGTGTACTTTGTTTATTCAAAATTGATAAAATATCTCTTAAAGATTTCATGCCCTTCATGATATTGTTTTGCATTATTAATCCTAAACGAATAAGCAATTCTGCGTCTGTCTCTAGGAAAATGTTTTTGTATGTGGTGTTCGTAGGTAATTTGAAAACCTCTTCTATTTCATTACTGACAAGCAACAGGTCATCAGCTGTGTAGTTCTGATTTTCTGGGGTATTCTGTACGACATAGACAATGGAATCAGATGCTGCCCTGACATTCCTTGACGAATTTAACAGGGATAAGTCCTGTATTAGAAAAAGAAAATTGAAACAGCTGTGCCTTTGATTTTCCAAAAATATAAATATTCACTACGTACAGAAATGTTTTATCGCCAGACATCTTTTTGAAAGGGATCGTTGCGTGTATTTGAGATATTTGCAAAACGTCGAAAAACGGACAAACATAAATTACAAATCAAAATATAAGCTCATCAGAACTTTTTTTTTTGAGAGGAGAGGTGAGGATAGATATTTCATTTTTTCTTGTTTTCGTCTTGCTCCCGTTCTTTTTTTTTAATTTTAGTTTTCATTTTCTTTTATGTGTTAGTTTATACGTTTTGGTTTTTGCATTTGGACATTTGTTTTTGATTATTACGCCTTTAGATGCGGGGTCAATAATTGATGAGGAATCATAACCGCCAAATGCTGACTGTTGTGAGATTTTACAACTGTGCTTTATTATTCGCAACATACCAATGATAATAACCAATTAAATATATTGTACAGCATAATTACATATTTTCTTAAAGGGACAGTAGCTATCAAATTTATGTTTACCGATTTGACACAATTTTTCTTATTAGAGTTATAATATACCAAAGCGTATAACCAAATAACAAAAAGTAAAAAAAAAAACAGTTGACAATACATGGACTAGTTATAGTGTATCAGCAATTACTGCATATTTTAGACTAGACACCATCTATTAAACCATTGAGGAGATCTCCAAAGAAAGCCGATGATCATATAACCCGAAACAAACATATAAAGTAGACAGATAAACACTCGTAATCGTTAAATGACGATTTTTCTGTATCTGTTTGATCATGTTGATTGCATGTCATAAATTAAAAAAAAATATGTAAATCATCGTGTTTTTCTTTATGTCTATGATTTGTGCAAACTTAATCAGTCAACGATAGTTATCTCCCGTGACTCCCATGTTTCACTTTTTGATGGTCATATTCTTTAAATCTAATAACTTGTTACTTTTACGGTTGAGTTATTGACTACTGTTGTTTCTTTCTTGATCGTTTTTCGTTTTTGACATGGCATTGTCAGTTTGTTTTCGACTAACAAGTGTAAGTTTAAATATCACTTATGTATTTTCCGACTTCATTTTGCAAGTCAGTAACAGATCAGCGATGCTTTACAGCTCTATTTGACACATTTGAATCAAACTGACTTCTAATAGCGTTATTTTATTTCTACATTTCATTTTTATCTATGTTTGAAAAGTTTGAAATACAAAACTAGGTTTGAAGAACGACTGCTATCTTGAGATTTGATTTTTTTTTGGTGTCTAAATCCTTAAAAATTATGTATGTTCTGTTGTATTATAATTCAGGACCTACTTATCATCAATAAGATTAACGCACCAGTTTTTTCCACCAGTTTTCAGTATTGTAATATCTCATTGTCTGTTATGAAGCAGTCGTTATTTCCCTTTTCCTTGAAACCTACTCTTTTTATTTCTAGCTCAAAAATAAGATCAAGATTCAGAATTGGTGCATTTTAGACCCAGTGTTAATGAATTTGGTTAGCGGTTTAATAGGAGACATTTACGTATCCTGTATTCAGTGATCATTTCTGAACGTTTATGTGTTATCAACGTATTGTAACACGTCCGGTTTTAGTAGTCAACAGGTAGCTGTTGACTTTCCCTATGAACTTGATTTCAAATTTAGATGAAAGCTTTGTTGGTATCATGTTTGTAGTTTATGATGAAATATACCTGGCGACTCAAACATGACTTAACTCCTTTACTTTCAGTTTGAATAACATATATTAATGCATATGGTCTAAAAAAAGAGCTGCCGAATTTGCTTGGATCTGTGTCTATGTGTATGTAACGACTGTCAGATGGTTCTATCTTCTCGAACGTTTTTCCTTTAATGAAATCTAAATCAACAATATCTTGATCACAACTCGCTATAACAAGCTGCGGGTCACTAAATATTGACTGCCTCAAGAGGACAGCGTCGTTCCATTCTTTTGAAGCTTCGTCATAAGGTGAGCATGACTGTTGTGTGATAGACTGTTGTGATAAATATACAGATTGGAATGTTTCTGGTGGGAAAACAAGTTCCTGAGAAAAAAAAAACTATTATAAAATTTTGTTACATTTATTTTACTAGTAGGCTACTTTTAACTACTACCATAATTTTTGTTTATTTTAATCAATATTTTATCTCGGGTCTATCTTTCAATATTTCAGTCATTGGTTTGTTTGAAAAAATTAAACAAAAGTCTCAGCAGATAAAAGCTGATAAACTTGTCTATGAATACACGGAAGATATTTGCCAACATTATTTTGAGAAAAATACTTGATCAAGTTGACATTAATTATGGAGCTAACAAATTTATCAAAACAGTCTGCTAGTCAAGTTATCCTCAAAATATTAAAAGCTAAAACTACTCTTTTGTGATATCATTTTAGATTCTGCACGCCGGTTATTTTACTTCCACTTTTAAAGGTCTTACCAAAGATGTGTTTATCTCGACACACAATAATTTACATTTTTTTAATTAAACCTGAGGAAATTGATTTTTAGCATTTCATATGAAAGAATAATTTTCCCTTTCTCAATTGTAAAAAAAAACGCTTAACGATCAAATTATGCCGTATTAACTTCAAGTATAATCTCTCAGACAGAAGTATTGTACAGCGTCTGCTATTTCTGAACGCTTCTAAAATTTATTATATGATATTTTGAGATACAAAAAAAAACCCCAAAAAACAAATAATTCCTGACATTTAAACTTGTTTGATAACATCTGAAAATGGGATAATTCCTCACCTGTGTGTCTAATTTAGCCGCTGCGCTCTTTAACTTACGCTTCCTATTCTTCAAAATACGTTGTTTTTCTGAAATTGTTATTGTCGCCATTCCTTTAGAAGATTCCTAAAAGGGGGAACAAGAAAAAAATAAAACATATCACTATTATTATATATGCTCCGATTTAAGAAAAAAAAAAAGTAATGCGTAATATGCTAATTCCGATTTATTTTTTAATTTTCATCAAGTACTCATCTAGAACTGGCTGGTGGCATATGTTTAACATTCAAATGATGACGTTGCCTACATAACAATAGAAAAAACCATAAAAAGAAAAAAAATAATTTTAAAACCAATATAATGATCAATCCAAAATCGTTAACTTTTTTTCTTATGTTTAATTCATACCATTATAAAACGCATATCTAATTTACAAAAAGTCCTATAGAAACAATAAACAATTATGTCACTCTATCATGCCTATATAAAAAATTGATATGAATGAACGGACGTGCAATCGTATTATTGTAATTTAAGGTATTTTTTGTTTTTTATTCCGACTGAAGGGCATACGATGCAGTTACATGGTATTTTTTGCGACGTCAAACAGTGTCATATTAGGAAAAGATGGATTTTTCGACTCACTTTTATTATTAGCTTGAAAACGGATGCATTGACCCCTATTTTTTAAATGGCATTTGGCTTGATTGTGTTTGAAGGTTATTTGTACCATTTTTTATGAACAAATCACCGATGGAAATTTTCTAAATTAGATAAATACTACACAAAAAATCCGGTTTGTTATTTAAAATTATGAAAAATTAATAAAAATGAATTATTTCCAAACAATTGTTGCACAAATTTAAAGCACATTTATGTAAAATAAGATATACTAAATGATTTTATGAAAAATCCTTTTGTGTTTATCTTTTGATACCAGAAAGTTAGGTATGTCTATCCAATGGATAGAAATATTCCAGAAACAGAAATTAGTAAATGTCTTTTACCTGATTTATCTCTAAAAGTAAAAGATGCAGGTATATGTTTTATTGTATATTTTAATTGACTGGTTGAAAACTAGCTTATATGCAAATTTTCTTGCAAACATTACCGTGGGATCAAAACTGTATCGTATACCCTTTATATAAATATATCTGGCGAGATATCAGAGAAAAAAAAAAAAATCAACCTTCATTCAATTTTAAATGCATGAAAGAAATAGTCATAGAAATATATAAATCTTATGAGATTGAACTAATTCCCAAATGTTGAGTACTGACAAAAATGTGTTATCTGAAGTTAACAAGGTGCGTATAAAAGAGCAATAACCATGGTAACAGTTCGATATCATATACCTACCAACCTATCGACATGTTAAAAATGACGGAAGAAAATTTATAATTATGACGAAATCAACAGGTCTTTCCAGAGAAAGATGGAAAGACCTAATAATTGTTACGCAACTAATTAGAACGATCTCATGTTTCAGTAGAGAATTACTAATTGACTAACAATTCTTTATAATAGATATAAGAAGATGTGGTATGAGTGCCAATGAGACAACTCTCCATCCAAGTCAAAATTTATAAAAGTAAACCATTATAGGTCACAGTACAGTCTTCAACACAGAGCCTTGGCTCACACCGAACAGTAAGCTATAAAGGGCCCCAAAAAATTACTAGTGTAAAACCATTCAAACGGGAAAACCAACGGTCTAATTTATATAAAAAACTTTTGAACCACACCAACAAACGACAACTACTGAACATCAGATTCCTACATTACCTTTATGCGTATCAGAATATATCAGAATATACCTCTTTTCTATCAACACGAATAACACAATATACATATCAATAGTAGTGTCATATTCTGTTATAACAATCGTTTGTTATAATTGTTTTGTCAAGATCTACTTCATTATTTATTGTGAAATACAATTATTTGACCAATATAATTTCGTCATTGTTTTAACAATAAACTGTTCAAACAATATGCACTTGATTCAAATATATCTATTAGCACAACTCTTCTTCACCTAAATAAAAACAACGATTTTACACGAAAAGAAACAAACATAGTAAAACATAAATTTCCTTACCATTTACATGCTTTGAATAATGTATTGGATGTACAATTTATCAAAGTTAATAACAATTTTGCAAATGAATTTTTTCCTGTTCGATTCTCACCCTATCATATTATTAAATACATTTTCTGAATTGTGTTATGGATCAATATCACCAGGACATGCATGCTCAGGACATGAACAAATTAACAATAGATATAAAAGGTAGATGAAGGTCGATGAAATTTGGACTGCCACTTGAAAATGAAGGTATATGAAGTTCTGTTTTATCGGGATGTGTAGATTGTTTTATATATATTCCCCGGGGGTGAGATGACTTAATATGATTTAATTTGTTTACTCAATAGATTAAAATATTGTTCATTTGCGTTGGACAAGAACTATTTATACCTGTAAAAATGTAATCAAAATAGGCTATGATCAAAAGTAAATTTAGATGCAGTGTATAACAGCAGGCGTCAATACTTCAAACATATAGTTCTAAATAAGAAAACAATATATTTGTAATACGTTTATATGGTTTCAACAGCTAATAAAAGATTTCACGGCAATATATTAGATGATTTTATTAAATTTCTAAAACTGCTAGCGATTTTACTTTAACAAATCTTTTATTTTATATACGTTTTTAAATTAAAAAAAATGGTTTGTTTTTCTTATTATATTGAGCAGAGTTTATACACACCTTCTCATAGACAAAAAAGGAAAAGCTTCTGGCAAATTAATGTATTCACTTTCAGATATATTGATGATTTACTGTCACTCAACAACTTTCATTTCAGTGAGTGCTTTCCACCTCATTTTTCTCACTGATATTAAGGGTAATGTCGACACTAAAACGTCTGATTCATGTGTCAATCTTTTCCTTTATATTGACACAGATAGATGACTTCAAACTAGAATATATGACTTGATCATTTCCGCTTTCCCATTGTCAACTTTCAATTTCGAAACATGCACATATTCCCAGTCACGTCAAATGGTGACATGTTTCAATTGATCTTTTAGTTTGTGCTTCATTAACAGGGAAGTGATCCTTATACACAGACTCATCCGACAGTGTAATTAAGACGAGCGACAAAACATAGGTTATACGGTCACTATTATGCATTGGTTGTCCGATACAGTGTGTCTCTGTCTTTACCAGTCAGGGCCGTTACTTAAATAAGTATTTTTTTTAGTTACTTATATAGGTAATTTTTGTTTTTAAAAATTATAAAATTACTCAATAGAGTTATTTTAAATTTAAATAGAAGCATGGACTAAATGTAGTTTTCATGAATTTATAAGATTTGAGAGGATTATAGAGATAAAAGATTATTTTAAAAATAATGACAAAAATATAACTTGAATAAGTTATTTTTATTCATCTTTGAAAGAATTAGTAAGAACGGGTCTTAATTAATTTATATCTATTTGTATCTGTCTACCTTCAAGATTTGCGAGGAAAATGATATTGTTATAGTCACAAGAGACCAATCTTGGACCCAGAAGCGTCGATATGAAAGATAAGTGCGTCAGAAAGGCAATTAGTGTTTCAGAAGGATTAGATTTTATATTTCATAGGAAAAATAATAAGATGACTGTGAAAATTTGTTTAAGTTAGTAAAATCTGTATAATTGGACACCTATAAAAATAATATATAACAGTTACTTATATAAGTAATATCTAAAATAGCCTCGTTTTCAAAATTACTTGTATAGGTAATTTTAAAAGTTACTTGTTTAAGTAATGCCCCTGACTTTTTACTGACTAAATACGTGTTTTTGCAGTCTTAGATTTGTTATCTATCTCTTGTGACATTTTTGATTCAGTGTGGATTTCATGGTAGATAACGCATGCATGCAAGGACACGCTTACCTTGACGACGCACCAGGTATCGCTCCTTTAAAATTTCATGCAATAACTTAGAATTGATTTGTTTGTCTAAAATGGATTGATGAGTTTTGAACATTTATCAGAAAACTACTATTTCCTCCCATTTGTACCAACTTTCCCTTTTTTTTTGTTATTTATTTAAATACTTAATATTGAGAGTTCCAAAGAAAGAATTGTTGTCAGCTCTAAAAACATAATTTCTCCTAACAGTTTTGACGAAACATACATTTCAGTTGACCTGTAGAAATATAACTTCAATTTTTACAGAATCAGAGAAACATACTAAAACACATTATTTGCACTATGATTGTTTCCCCTTATCATATAGTTGTTTGACCTATTTATTAAAACTTGATAACATTTCTCGATATTTAATAGATAACTGTTCCGTGTTTGGTCACATACTTGATTGTACTTTTAAGGTCAATATAAGGACAATGATCAATTGTATTATTGAATTTTGATGACATAAAATATCATAATGGTTGTTAAATAATAATAATGATAACGGTACACAATGACAATGATTAAAATTCATTATAAACTTTAAAAAAAAGGTATAAAAAGTTACAACAGGACAAAATGTGTAAAAGTTTAAATTAGAAAGTTTTAGGCCTTATCTATGACTAATCAATAAACAAAAATTAAACAACACCAAACCAACAGCAGCCACTGAATTACAGGATCCTTTTTTTGGGATAAGCACATACAACAGGTGGTGGGGTAAACACACGTGTTTGAGAGCTTAACCCCACGGTCTAACCTTATATAGTAATTAGTATGTCACAGTTCTCCTTTTCTCAACACTCAAATTTATTTTTTATTGCACATCTTGCTGTTTAACAATAGCATTCCATCAAGTATCCGGGCTAAATTAATCACTAAATATCCATGGAAAATATTCAGTAAAATTAACTATAAATAACATTTATATACATATCTGAATAAATAAATAACTGTTACAAATAATCTTCACTACTACAAAATAAGTTAAATTTTTGAATTAATCTATATCTATAATAAAAATTGGAATTACAATATCTATAATTACACAAGTTTGTCAGTATTTGTACGGAAACGGTTTGTCACAGAATAAACTGAACAAATTAGTTGGAAATTGTTTGACTCATCGCATTTGCACGAGGGAAAAAAAAAAAAAAACTGTAACAAAAAGACAGATTTGTAACGTATAGATATAAAAGTATGTAAATGTGAACTTTTGAAAGATTAAATCAATGTCTGCTATTAAGAACGGTTGCAGACCAGTCCTTAATGCTTTTTGACTCCTTTTGATAAAAAAAAACAAGAATTGTGGCAAGTTTTTCTTTTAAAAATCAAAGGACATTTCTTTTTTTGAAGAAGTTAAATCATTTAGAAGGCTGTAGTAATTCATTATTTGTAGTAGCTTATCAAAGATGCTTAAAAATTATTTATTTTTTATGATTTTTTAACACTAGTACTACACAGTATTGTGGTTGTTGTTGATAGCTATATGAAATTTTATAATTCTTTTTGTTATAAATATACATATCTATTTATAATATGTATTTGATAAAAATAATTTAGAAACTTAACTATATTTACCCGATGTACCTTAGTTTTAAAGTGATATTTCTAAATCATTGAAACAAAACAGTTTTGTTATCTTTGTATCTATAAAGTTATATGGTTGGTATATCGACCTTCTGTTCACAAATTATGCAAAAAAGACATGTAAAGACCTAAACACTCATTTACACGATGTTGTTTGGAATGAAATCATTAATTGATTAATTGCAGAATCAACATTTTATTTGAAGTATTAACTATGACAAATTATCAAACATTTCCAGTGCGACGTTTTGGTCACTGTAATATACTGTACTAATACATACCTCACCATATTAGCAGTTGCAAAAAGAGTTTTATTGTTTGTTTCAACACATACTCACTAAAAAACTTGTTTCTATTGCATTAGAATATTAAACAGAATTTTGTCCGAAAAAAGGAACTGTTCATCTTTATATACTTTTATCTATTTCAATGGTTTCAATTGTTTTTGAAATAATTATAATTGTTCTCATTGTTTGGATAATAATTCTTCCGTGATGTGACATACTAAACTTGGTTAATACTAAACCACGCTATCAAGGTCAACGTCACAAGGAAATTAATCTGTGTTTATTTCCGAAATGATAAAATAAAAAAAAACAGGTATCTGCCAGATCATATTTCATATGATGTTATAATTATGAAATCGATTAGTTTTAAGGAAACTACATGTATGTTTCAAATTGATGTCAAACATTTAGACAATGTTTGGACTCTTAAAATTATTTGTTATGACCTTTTCGGCTATCTCTATATTTCATGAAAATTTTGATTATTTTACGTACTTTAATTTTTTCAAAATAAACAGCCAAATATATGGGCTTTTTTTGTTTGTTTTGAAAAAAAATGTAAAAATAGAAAGACGATAACGTAAATATAAAGCGATTTATTGAACCTTATTAAATTAACCTTATCCTGCTATTCTGCATGATGACTGTTTAGCTACACGGCAGAAAATACTCGATTTAACATCACAACCTTATTTTTAATGACATTATCAATAGTGTTTCTCTTTTGTCCTTGTTTTTACTATTTTCAATATTTACATAGTACAGATCACTAAGTGGTTTAGTATTGGTCCAATGAAAAGGATTACTTGATTAATAAATTTACATTACTTCCATTGAAACTATGTGCATTTGAGCAAGATACATAAGGTACTATTCTCAAAGTAGACAATTTGGATAGTCATCCTTATTTTATTGTGTAGTCATGAAATTAATAAAATATAATGTATCTGTTTGGGTCTGCATGAGGCTTTTTATGACATATATTCTTACGTTCATAATCGTTCCAGTATAATGTGTAATATACTTTGAGGACAATCTGTTTTGGTCATTTGTTGATAACACGACTGAAGTTCAAAACGATATTTCTCGGAAATTCGCCGTTAGAATGCATCATTAATTTTCCACGAATGAATTGCGGTATTCTATAAAATTTGTCTGTTTTGTTGATATTTTATTAGTAATTCAATATCTTACATACAAAGATACAGTTGAACTTGTATCACCCTGAAATCGTTAATAATTGTTATCTTGGTAATCTGAGATACTTACTTTTTTTATCAACTTGAATATTCAGAAAATGTTTTTCTTCAGTAAAATGTCTATTGAAAAATGTCCTTGTCAGTAGTGTGCATACATTATTAATAACGTCAAATAGTTCAAATTATACTGAAATAGAACACCCGGAACTTGTTCTAATCAATGATTAAAATATATAGTCTTTGTTATAACAACATTAACGGTACTAATTTCACCAGATATGCATTTCGGCAACAAATGTCTCACTCGAGATGATCAAAGACAAATTATTTTAAAATCAAAGACTTATTCAAAACTGAAGAGCTGATAATAACAAATAGTAAAAAAAAAAGTACAGCCAAAGTCGGGCACAAAACCAGACCTTTGCATGAGGGAGATATAATCGTTAATCAAGAAAAAAATCAACATTTTGCTGCAGGAAATTGCAATAACGCAATATCCGTATGTTGATGCCAGTATCGACGTACTGGCTACAGGGCTGGTGATATCCTGTGGTATTAACAGTCAACCACCAGACATGTTTATACAACAAAAACATAATGCTATTATAAAAACAGTAACCCCCTCCACACACTCATACACGCACACTACATATCCTGTTTCATCAATATTTTAGTATATGTTATATATTAATCAGTTATTTTACTTTAAAATACACATGCCATATTGTCGTAATAAATCTTATGTAGGCAAATTTTACGATTAATGAATTGTTTGTTGCTTAACGTCCAGTGGCAAATATTTCATAAATGTTCAGGACGAGAACACATTAACAATGAATACAATAAGTAGGTCCTATAATATAGGCCGTTAGGGGAAAGGGATGGGAAATTAAGACTGCTGTCACCAGAAAATGAGGGTATATTGAAGAGGGTCGGGAATTTAGCCTTAGAACAGGCCACATACGAACCCCTCAAAGAGTTGGTGCAAGGGTTCTTAACTTGCAGATAGCGTGGCACTCTCTTTACACGAAACATAGGATTTAAAATCCCCATTCGGACCGGACGTGGTTGCATACTGGTACATTCCGTACAGCCAAAAGGACGACCTACATCGGCGAGGGTTTTGACTGCCGGTTGGAAGAAGACCAAAGTGACAATATGTCTATTCTCCCCAATATAACGAGCACAGTTACGTTAATAGTTTAACAACATAGACATGAAATGAACCATTCGAATGAAACAATCGTAAAATAAAGATTGTGAAATATATTATACATTCATAAAAGAAATGAATTGGATTTAACACATGAATATGATTTATATGCATATAATTGAGAAATGAACTAACAATCATATTAACGTTGGACTATGTTAATCATTTCAACAGGAACATTGTGAATATTGAACAAACATGGCTACATTGCTTACAAAAGCTTTAAATTAATTGAAATACTAAGGATTTTATATCACAGGAATAGATAATTTAGCTGTATTTGACAAAACCCTTCGAGATTTTGGATCTCGATGCTCTTCAACTTTAGTTGTCCTTTTAATTGTTTAATGACTCTTTTGAAGACGAAAAGTGAGTCTGGCGTACAAGAATTTGACACATATCCATAAAATCATCTGTTATTCGGGTGAATTCTTACAGTTGAAAGAACTTTAACCATTTTTTTGCAATTTAAAAAAAAAAGGGGAAAAAAAGCAGCTTTCACAATAACGCATATCTATACTGACAACTTCAAAGCTTATATTAAGTAAACATTAACTGCATTGGAACAAATAAAAATATTTGAAAATTAAAATCGTATTTACCAAATATAAGCAGCAAGGATTTCAACGCAACATGTGATCGCAATATGATCAATAATTAACAAAACATGACACCATCTTACAGATAAATTTATGTATTTACACTAAACTGTACCAAACTAAATGCGTAAGTATAACACTTCTTGCAATAGCGAAATATTTATACTCCTGAAACGCTTGAATGAAAGTTTAAATTTGATAACCACTAACATCTCGACCAAATTGCTTTAGGACTGCACAAGGCTGAACTACGTTACAAAATGCTACGTCACTTAAGGGTTCAGCTGAAACGTAATACACTAAACTGATTGCGCTCCCTACGAAAACGCAATTAAATTATAGCAACTCAAATTCTACTATACTTTCAGGCAGTTTTACAGGTAATATAATGATGTTTATTTTCGAGTCAAGTCAAATTAATGACCATAATCTAACAAAAATGCATAAAGTTGTGATATTTCTGACCAAGGAAGTTATTATTTCATATCATAAATTAACAATGAAAACAGTTTATTTTCAAAACTGAAGGTATGCAGATGAATGAAAATCATGATCGTAGGATTAAGGTTTTGTATACTTATAGATTAAAGCAAAGGAAACTGGTATTAATAATAATACAAATATTCCAAAAGAAATGATTGCAAAACTGTATAACAAAATTATGTAGAAAAAGAAACTTTTCACATGAAAGTATTCTGTCAAGAATGAATTTGTATGCTGTGAAAGATATAAAGCTATATCATGTATATAGCGATTGATGATAGTATAGTAGATTTGTTTACAATTTGAGTAGCAACATAGTAACATAAACGGTACCAATTACTATGCACAAGATGCGTATTTCGACAATAAATGTTTCTTCAATGATACTCAAAGCCAAAAATATTCAGACATTAAAATAAAAATTAAGAGCTTATAAACCAAGAGGACATGAAGTATAGCAAAAAAAAAAAAAAAACCCGGACAGGAAAATCAGAGCTTTTCATGAGGAAGATATAATATGAATATACATAACATTAAATGAAAGCTATGTTGTATAACTTGTTTTTTTTTCGTCCCTAAATTCGTCTTAGGATATTAGACAAACCACGTAAATATAAACAACATGTTTATCAAGAGGTAAAACATTACATGTTTAGACTGGAAAGACGTTGATTTATTTATTCGTTGTTATTGGCTTTGCATAAGCTTTCATTAGTTGCGGGTTAGCGTATATCGGTACTTTGTGTCTTTCCATGTCAGTTGTGTTTGTGCTTGGGGTCGATATGGTGAGTCAAACCATTTTTAACTAATTTTTACAGATTGTTCGTATGTTGTTTCTTTACACCACTGTCCAAGATCAGGAAGGGTTGAGCACTCAAGCATATGTAATCCAGCTACCATAAACGGTAATCTATTCACGGGGTATAAAAATCTTTATCATTTCGATCAATTCAAAGTTTTTTTAAACAGTTAATTTATTAATATCATCAATGAGCTAGCGATACCTTTGGGGAGAAAATTTCCACCAGTAGTGTATATACATTTTACACTGCATTTTTGTAAATCATATCTACAAATCAAAGCAAAACAAAAAAGGTGATTACATTTTTATTGTCATACCCTTAAAATATCACATCTTAACATCTTGTATATTTTTTTTCATGCTTTATCTCTGTAATTTGATGCATGGTTTGTGTTTATTAATGGTTTGGTCAACTTGAATACATTAGAAAGATATGTGGTGTATACGTCAATTAGACTTAAACCGAACTACACACATCTAGAGGTCAACAAAAAAGAGGATATATACGATCTAATCAGTGTTTTATATAATATGTTTTGGTTATACATGTATGTCTGTTATAATCATTGCATTCATAAGTTGCAAGTTATATAGAATAGCGATATATAAAGTCAATTCCTTTCATCTTTTTGGCATACAGAGCATCAAATTTCTCATTGACAGCAACGGTAAAATAGTTTTTCCAGTCTCCAACCTCACCTGTCAAATAGTATATATTTACTGCTAAACATAATACAAATTGCATGAGAAGAGGTATTACAGTGAAAAAGAAGCAACAACATGAGCAATAGAAACATTTGTTTGAATGCATTCAATACTGTAATAAATGAAGGAAAAG